GTCATTCTCTGGGCAGGTGAGAGAACGCTTTGAGAAACTAGATGAGCTAACATTATTTCTCTGTGTCTATGTAATTCAAAATGCAAATGTCCATTTTGTGTACGTGCGGGGTGACTAGGCTAAGCCAAATGGAAGAACCCAAAATTGGTACGCCTTACCCCCTAAAGCGAACCTCAGGACCTCAGGCAATATTTCTATTGTGAAAGTATGCTTCCTTCAGAACAATTGTGACAAACTAATTGTGATGTTGACAGTTAACATCTTGCAATTGAGCTCTTTGACAGAACAGTTTAAGCCTCAAAGATCTAACATTGGAAGTAACCCCTCATCTTTCTTGGGAACCAGGAAGTATCTGCTCTAATAACCCAACTCTCTCTCTGAAAGAGGAACATGTTCTATGGCCTCTTTGCTCAGGAAAGATGGTAGCTCTTCTGACAGTACACGAGACAGCTCTAGTTTCATGGAATTGGAGGCCACACAATTGAAACGTGGAGGATGATGAATAAATTGGATTCTGTTTCCTATTTGTAATGTGCTGTGTACTGTACTGTGTACTGTACTGTGTAAAAGAACATGCCAACTGTTTGGGACTTTAGCTTATTCACTGTATCCCCCAGAGTTAGATAACTCCATACATACCCTTTTCATCTCCGTGTGTGCTGTAACTCTGTCCGATGCACCCACCGCTAGCCTAGCTTAGCACAAAGACTGGAAGAAAATGGCTCCAGCTAGCATATTGCTCCCACACCAACATTGTCCTATTTATTCATATGTTGTGATTTGTATAGTCATATGAGACACAGGCATCCTTTAACCATAAACATGCTGGGAACTATATTCTTAGAAGGCGAAGCACTGCTACTTGGGATGGAGTGATTTGCTTGCAGCACCAAAGAAGCCCCGTTGTGAGGAGCAGAGAGTTCGCTCAGAGTGTTGCACTAATCATGTACATAGTTAAAAGATGCCTGTGTCTCATATGACCTTGTTATATGTACACACTGTGACTATACAAATCACAAGATATAAATAGGAAAATGTTGGCATTATTTTGTCACTTATTGGGAGCAGTATGCTAGCTGGAGCCATTTGCTTGCAGTCTTTGTGCTAAGCTAGGCTAGCGGCAGAGGTGGAAGTAACGAATTACAAATACTCCAATTACTGTAATTAAGTAGTTTTTTTCGTGTACTTGTACTTTTATGAGTATATTTTTAAGTCTGTAATTTTCCTTGTACGTGAGTACAAATTAAGTTAAGTAATGTACTTCACTACTTTAAAAATCCCATTAATTACAAAGTACTTTTACAATTTGAATTCAACAAGTATTCAAATCTTTGACCAGCATTTGGGTAGCCTATCCAATGGAAATAACTGATCGTGGGCCGGCCAATAAAAACCCTTGTATTTGGACCGGGAAAAAAGCCAGGTTTCTGGAGAGCTATTCGTCCCCGCACGTCCTTCAGTGTGTATTTTAGTGTTATCAAAAAACTCTGCCATTATGGACATGGAGATTCAGGACGCTAAATTCATTGAAAATTCCGAAGAAATACAGGATGACGAGTGCCCATGGCCGCACCTGGAAGAGTTGTTCTTATACAGAGGAAGGAAAGGAGACAGCGTGCATTTTATAGAAACTTTGTTTGCCATCTGCAGTTATTTCGGCTTACAAGACTTCAGCCTCTAATCTCAAAGAATATATTACGTAAAATTTATGTGATAATTGTTTTCGTTTTTAATGTTGGGTAGACCTCACGATAATTTGACTAAAAACATCACTTGAAACATGAGCTTCAGCGTTACTCAGGTGACAAGCACATATGCCGTAAAAAAGATTTAGCATTGTAAACTTGCGCCCAAAGTTAGATTGTATGTCATTGTCAACACATTGTTTTATTAATATTGAATCCATGTTTTAAGCTTAGAATGAAGAGTTTAATAATGACTCTTTCATAAAAACTGTCTCTTGCCGGCCACGACCCACTGGCATAACAGTGTAACTGCACTGTGATGCGTTTCCCGTACAACGACGTAGTTCACTGCTTCACTACCATAGTCGTGACTAGCTAGTTGATTTCTCCAACGATGCATCATACTATTTCCCAAAACCCACTGTTGCAAAGTATCGTTCAACCACGTTGGTTTTGCACGTGGTGGAGTATATCTACTTTTAATGAAACTGTTTGAGATCCATTTAACGCTATATTTTTTAATATAAATTACAGACACAACATCTGAGGACTATTTCTAATTGTTCTCAGTTATTTTGCTTTATTACCAGACACAATATTTGGCTCATTCTTACATAGTAGAGCACGTTCGCACATACGCACTCTTCAAACACGGTACTTCAAATCTTTAGAAAAACTAAAAGACGTAAATTACATTTTTATGTATTGTAAATAAAAGGCACCGGTTGTACTGAATGTCACCTTGCTTATTTTGCTCAAGACAAGGATTTATTACGTCCAAATGTGTTTAGACGATGCTTCTACCCACAGGTCGAGAGCTGTCGTTCAAACCACACAACTTTGCGATGCTGTTTGCGAATGTTCGTTGGAACGATGGTTTCGGGAAACACCGACTCGTTGAACTTTGCTGATAACAACGGAACTTGCGATCATAGTTGGCTAACGATGCTTTCGGGAAACGCACCCCTGATTGACAGTCTGTCTAGATTGCTTATTTGTGTCAGTGCTAAATGCTGATAACTTTTGAAACTTTTGAAATAGTAGTAGGGTACTTTTTGAAATCTTTATTGTAAAAAAAGAAGTTTATAAATAAAATAACCCAATAAGCTTATTTATTTTTCATTATAATTCATTAATAATAATCATCATATTAAACTATTTTTATAACTTGGTTTCCATAAAAGTAATTAAATATCACAGGCTAAAAAGTCATTAGTACTTGAGTAGTTTTTGAGAGGGGTACTTTTACTTAAGTACATTTTTAACACCAGTACTTCTGCTTGTAATTAAGTATTATTTTAGCAACTACTTGTACTTGTACTTGTACTTGAGTAGAAATTTGCAGTACTCTTTCCACTTCTGGCTAGCGGTGGGTGCATCAGACAGAGTTACAGCACGCACAGTGATGAAAAGGTTAGGTATGGAATTATCGAACACTGTATTGTAATATTGTGAATAAGCTAAAGTCCCAAAAAGTCAGCGTGTTCCTTTTATACCCATGCAGAAATGCCTGGCAAAATTTTCCAAGCTGCCAGACTCTCTGAGAGTGGTCATGATCAATTTTAACACTTCATGATGAGGGGTTGCTAGATGTTCTATGCCCTGTACTACTGTATAGAAGTATGGTTTACTCCATGACTTTGATAGTTCGTCATGGAGGTCCTCGAAGTGCTTTGGTCCCTCCCCGCTGCCACTGGACAGAAACCTATCCTCAAGCTTAGAACTTTTGGGGGTCTCTTGTTCGGGTAGCCAGTCAAGCTGTAACTTACCCACCGCATGAGTAACCACCTCGAGCAATTCTTTGATGGATTTATCATTGTGGGAGGAATGGTCAGAGGTCGGCTGCTCACGGTCTGCAGACCCAAGAGATTCATCATCGCCCCGAACCGAAGTTGTGGAGTGCGCTTTGAGATCACACAAGGGGACGTGTGGACCAAAGATCTGTAGCAGACAGAGAGGTAAGAGATGCTAACACACATACACAGAAAGATCTCTGAAGACAAAAGACCTGACGATGCAGTTGTGGCTCATCTATTTATAGCCTTGTTTTGCAGGTCGCACTGGTGACATCACCGACCTAAGGCTATAATATCTCCGGGTCAATTCTATTGACATGTTATACACAATATTCACAGCTGGTCATGATTAAAGACGTCCCTAATGCGCTAAGCAGCGCAGAATCAATTGAAGCTTTTAAAAGGGAACTGACGCTATGCTTTAACTCAGCGATAATCACCAACATTGAATAAAAAGTAAAATGCTGCACTGTAAAAGAATACTATGTGATATGATGTACTGTATAATTGTATATAGATCCTATTAATTTAATTAATGTAAATATGATTTTTTTTTTTTAATTTGCGTTGTTAAGGAGGATTAAAAGCCCACCCAGGGTTTAGAGCAAAGCACAGGAGCCGGTGTTGCCTTTGGTAACATGTGTATATTTTATTTAGCACCACAATGCAAGCTCTGTGATGCACACCATGGCATTAAAAAAAAAAAAAAAAAAAAAAAAAACTCTTTCCTCTCAACCCAGCTAGGAAACAGGAGGGTTGTTTAGAGTGATGTGGCAGAAAATAGCCCCACAGAGGTTCATTTCTTCTATAAGACAGATATAGTTTTGTAGCAATGGCCTGATTTAACCTCTAAATAAGTAGACTGTAGTACAAGTGTCTTACTTAAATATTGTAAACAAAATATATAGTCAAGCTGCTTTTTCCAAAAAAAAAAAAAAAAAAGAAAAAGAAAAAGAAAAAAAAGGGTACAGTTTTATAGACACTGGGCAGAAGGATTTCCATTTTCCAGCATGTTACTGTTTAATCATTGAGTTTAATAGGACTGTTAAGTGTTATTTAATGTGTTTTCAAGAGAAGGAAGTAGGGGAAATGCATTAAATTTTAATGCTAAGTTACTTTGGGTTTAAGAAGATTTATTCTGGGTTGAAATTGTGGAGGGTTGGAGGGTCTCTCCTTCCTAGAGATAATTCTCTTCTATTCTCTCCCTTATATTTTGGGGTATGTGCACTTTATCATAAAAAAGCTGCGCTTGAACACACTAAAATGACTACGACTGCCAACTAGCATGTGTGTTCTGCGCCTATGTGCAAGGAAATAAATGTCTGGGGCTTTCGCACAGGAACTTAGTTATAGGAACTAGCCACCAGTGCGGTTCTCAGAAAACTAAATGTTCCCCTAGGGCATTTTTCCTGGTTCCATTCGCGAACTGCCAGTAGGATCTCTAAAGTGACGTAAGCTGGCCAACAGCAACATCAATTAGGTACAACATTCCATATCTGGAGAATGGAGGATGCCGTGATCAGAGCTGTGTTTTTGTTGTGTGACGTGAGATTCGTTATAACAGAGATGGAAGTTATGTGATGGAGTGATCAAAATGAGGGCTAAGAGCTGAAATCTCTACCGACAATGTGCAGTGCTACATATCAATGAGGTTGAGAAAAGAACACGACAGGTAAATGCAGTTAAGATTTGCTTTCTGTATTTGTGCACAGTTTATTTAAATTGTATTGTATTTATTTTATTGTTTCTATGTCATGTTGTTATGTGATGCTCATTTGTACTTAACTGTAAAGCGACCTTGAGAACTTTGAAAGGTGCTATATCATATTATTATTATTATTATTATTTTATAAAAATTGTAGGGATGTTTTGTATGGCTAGTCTTCAATACACTTACATCACTTTTATTGTGCTGAGTTATAAATCTAATACTCTGAAGTAAAACCTAAGTTAGTCCCCCCAAAAGACAAAATTGATTTGTTCCCAGTTCCTGTGGTGCGAACACGCCAAAAAGAGTGTACTTTCGCCATTAATTCTAGGAACTGTGAAAAGGTTCCCCCAGTGCAAAAGCTAAATTCAAAACAGGGAACCGAAACTAGGACTGCAAATATACAAACTGTATGCCATTTTGAATATCAACCATGCTGATTCATTTCTTCATTCCAGGTGCTTCTGGACGTATTTGCACATTGGAATGCCCAGGTAAGATGACGTAACAGCTGTGTGAGCTGTCTTGACTTCTTTACTTGCTTTCCTTACTTTCGTTTTTATTATTATGCACTGATTCCTTCACTAAAATGAACATCCAAACTGGGGGTGTGTTTCCCAAAAGCCAAATATGGTCGCAACTTCATTCGATACCAACACAATTCATTGGAACTTGCGACCATAGTTGGCTAAAGATGTTTTTGGGAAACTCACCCCAGAGCAATCTCTCTCCGATTCTACATGCTGAATTGGGCAACCTGCTGCCAACGTGAGTCTGACTAGAGCTGTTTGGAATCTGATTGTTAAATGCACTGACTGATTTCATCTTGTTCATGCTACAAACCAGCATCTTATACTGCATCTTAATAGAATGGCACAAGGTTTTTTTTTAGAACTTGAAGGATGTTTACATTGCCAGCACATTTAGGCCTGAATACTTGTTTTAGATTGGTTAATCTTGATTAAATTGTAATTATGCTAAAATCTAATTTGCCATTAACAAATTTAGGACAAAAATTGATAAAATCAGGTTATCCCCTAATTGCATATGGATGATTCACTACCTTGCAGAGCAGCACTGCTTTGGTCTAAAATTAAATTCTATTAGTGCAACAATTATCACACAATCAAATAAGATGGAAGAGAGCAACAAGATGAACTGGCCCTTGATATGCTGGTATCAGAGACAGGAACAATTATACCCATATTGATCGTATACTCTGATAATTGAATTTTACTAGGGGTAAAAATCAATTGTAATTCTGGCTGTGGAATGCGTTTATGTCCATTTCACAAGACACCTTATTTCTTGCCTCACTTTTTCATTCCATTTTAGGTCAGGTGAGATATGATAACCATAGCAACCGTCAGAGTCAAAGATTATTCTGTAGTTAAGAGAAGTCTTTGAGTGTCTTTCTTTTCTATACTGGTCTTAAGTTCTCACTTAATGTATCAGCCATAGTTTTAACCTTGTTTACTCTGAGTCTGTTGTGTGTATGTTGTGGACATTTGTGGAATGTGGGTCTGGTATGTAATTTATTTCTTCAGGTGATTTCTGAAGAGGTTTAAATTAATTTTAACTCCTTTCAGACTTGTCATGCCAATACCCAGGTGTCTTTAAGCCCATTTGTGCATGCATTTAACTTTCTTTCATCCACTTTTATTTCTAACCATTACTTGATAAAGAGTGCAACGAGCAAGTTCCCCTCACGTCTTGTCATATTGTAATAATGACAGGGCAATTGTGCCCTTTCACAGTGAGGGTTTTTCTCTTGCATTAAAGAACGTCTCCCTCATGATATTAATCTCATTAGCCTGAAACCTACTAATTAATGTTTCATGACAATACACAATGAGTTCATCTCCTCTGGTGGAGTAAGGCCAAAGAAGCCATTGAGTTTCACTGGACAAAATGGTTAAATCTTTTGAAAGATTCCCTTTTCATAGAGAGTGAAGCTCACTGTACTCATTTATTTGTTGGATGACTTGATGGGTTATTGGCAGATTCTTCTAGTCTCCCCCTTTCTGTGCTTAATACATCTTCAAGATTGTCAACTGAAGAACTGTAAATATCCCCAAATGAAAAATATGGCATCCCATTTCTCCAATAGTTTTTATTTTTAATTCCATTATGATTGATTATCATTCTCAATGCACTTCCACTTTCTTTTGCTGTTATTGGGCCAACAGAGCTGCTAATACACATTCAAAAATATTTGGCCAATGTGATAACATCTAAATAAAAATTAACAGTGGGCAAGAAATTTATCTGGGCTATGCCAAGAAATTTGTTAATTTGTGGTCATAAAGATCTCAAGATGAATGTGAACCAGTTGCTTTAACTGAGTTTTAAGGTTTGATTTTGAACTTACTTTACTGTGTCAGCAAACACTTACATGATTTCTGACTTGTCAGAACACTAACACCAACTTTAAATTCACTTTTCTGAAAGCCAAGCCACAAGGTTAAAACTTTGTGCTATCTGCTGTCTTTTTGGCCTTAAGTATTTTCAGATGAAAAGCCAACAACCACCCTGCAGAGAATGCATCTGTTTAATCCATCCAATGAGAAACATCATCACTTGAAGGTCCCACAGGCTTCTGCATCTATTATTTGTGGTCCTGGTTCATAAAACCAGTCACAAGTAGCATAGTTCCCTATCGAGGGAACTCAACACTGCGTCGATAAAATCGACTCTTTGGGGACGCTCCCTAAGCGTGCGCCTCTGAAGTATGAATGAAACTAATCCAATCCTGATTGGTGTTGCGTCGTGACGTAACATGTGACGGCATACCCGGAAGTATAAAAGTGACGCTGTCACAACACACACTAGCTTTCGCTCTTCAGCAAGCGCTTTATGTTGAAACTGTCTGTCTTATTTGGTGTTGTTTGTCTTATTATTGAAAGAAAGTATGGCCAGTGAACAATTCAAGAGGTGTGTGCATCCCTGTCCTCGTTACATCACGGGTGGGGACGCACACTCTCTCTGTGTGTATTGTTTGGGAGTGCAGCACGCACGGGCAGCTCTCGAGGGGGCTGCTTGTGAAATGTGTGAGGCTTTGCCTATTAGAGTGCTGCGCTCCCGGCTGGCGTGCTTTGACGAGCACGGTCAGGCTCGCGTTTCCCCAGGGTTCCGGTCCCGCATATGTCGAGGCGATGCGGCGACTGAGATCCTGGGGTTCGCAGCGGGATCTGGCGGAGGAGAGTGAGAATGCTGAGGCATTTTCTCGCTCGCCATCGGCTGATCCCGCAGCCTCTGAGAGTGGTGTGGGAGCCCGCGCTGCGGTTTCTCCTACCCGCGATCAGGTCCCGGTGCTTGAGCTGTCTACTTCTGAGGAAGGGGACGTGCTCAGCATCGATGCGGACGACCGTGATCTCAGCACGCCATCACGCGGCCTGGGTTATGAGGAGCTGGTGGAGGTTGTGACACGCGCTGTGGCCAGACTAAACATCAGCTGGCCACAACATGAGCAGGAAACGCAAGTCACCAGTAAAATGGACGAGCGTTACCTGCAGCGCAGGTCACAGCCTCACCGCCGGGGTCTGCCGTTTTTCCCTGATCTCCATAAAGAGATCTCGAGAACGTGGGAAAGACCGCATTCGTCCCGTATTTCGAGTCCCAATGTAATAGATTACAGCAATGTTATGGGGGCTCGAGATATGGGATATGGAAGATGCCGAAGGTGGAGGAGGCTTTAGCGAGCTATCTCTCTCCCGAATCGGCGTCTTCCCTAAAGACCCCGGTGTTGCCTAGTAAGCCCTGCAGAGAGACATCTGCATTGGTGGGCAGGGCTTACATGGCGGCGGGTCGGGCTGGTTCGTGTCTGCACTCAATGGGCGATTTTGCAGGCATACCAGGCCGACCTCCTGAAAGATTTGGATGAGGGGGAGGGGCCTACTCCTGAAGATGTCGCGGAGTTGAGGAAGGCCGCAGATTTGTCTCTCCGGGCCACTAGGGAAGCGGCCAGCGCTTTGGCCGCTCTATGGCGGCCATGGTGGCCACGGAGAGGCATCTGTGGCTGAACTTATCCGGTATTAAAGAAAAGGATAGGTCCTTCCTGCTGGATGCGCCGCTTTCGCTTCTGGCCTGTTCGGCGACGCCGTTAATTCGGTTGTCGACAGGTTTCAGGAGTCGAGAAAAACAATCTGCGGCGTTCCAGCAGTACCTCCCCCGGAAAGCGAAGGCCAAATCTAGTAGGGGGGGGCAAAGCAAGCAGCCCCAGCCATCAGCCAGCTCCTCCCACAGGGCAGAGCAGAAGGAGAGCGTTTCCTCTAGAGCCCCCCCTCCTGGGTCTTGGCAACAGAGGAAACGCTCCCAAAAACCGAAGTCCTCCAGCCAGAGGGGCGACCTGAGGGACGTCATTCAAGCTAAGAGGACTTCGGAAAAGAGGTCCTAGCCAAGGCAGGACTTCAGAGGGCTGCCCCCTCCGCAGTGAGACAACGAGGTTGTTCTCACAACGGGGCCCTCTAGGAAAAGATGCAGGTCCGCCGTTAACAGCG